GCAAAAAGCATGCTGTTTCTCAATGTGTTCGTCTTCCCCCCCACTTCTCATATTTTCCATTTGTTGTTGAGGGGGGGGGGCGATCGGCGATGAATTGCGTCTGTGCCTATTTTTCCCTCCCGACGGACCCCTCCCTGGGACCGGCTTCTCATCCCGAGTCTCTCTCTTGGTGCCGCGGGGCCCGGGGGAGGGCCCCCAGAGGCCAGAACTTGCCCCAAAGCTATCGACGTCCTGCCGTGCCATTCCTCTCGAGGCCTGGCTTCCGGGCCGCAGCCCGCGCCTCCGGCCGGGCCGCGCGGGGCGCTCTGGGCCCCCCCCCCCCGAGCGCCCTCGACCAGCGAGGGGCCGCTGCCGAAAAGCATCGCGAGGTGAGCAGGGCGGCCCAGCGGCCCCCGCGCGCGCGCGGGCCCCCCCCGCGCGCGGGCCTCCCGTGGCTTGTTGTCCTCCTCCTCCTCCCTCCTCCTCCTCCTCCTCCTCCTCCTCCTCCCCTCCTCCTCCTCCTCCCTCCTCCTCCTCCCTCCTCCTCCTCCTCTCTCCTCCTCCTCCCTCCTCCTCCTCCTCCCTCCTCCTCCTCCTCCTCCTACTCCTCCTCCTCCTCCTTCCTCCTCTCCCTCCTCCTCCTCCTCCTCCTGCCTCCTGCCTCCTCCCTCCTCCTCCTCCCTCCTCCCTCCTCCTGGCGCGGCGGAGCGCGGGCTGTGCCCGCGCGCGCCGACTATGCTCAGGACGTGCTCCGCGACGACAGAGCAGGGCTCAATGTAGGGCTCGGCGTCGTCCAGCCCGCCAGCCGCCGCAGCCGCCAGCCCGCCAGCTCGTCCGCCGGCGCCGCCGCGGAAGCCCGCGCGGCCTCGCGCTCGGGGGCGGTGCGGAGCTGGCTCGCTGTGGCGCGGCGCAGCGCCGCGCTACGCTCGGCGCCCCAGCTAGCGGCGAGCGCGCTGGCGGCGGCGTCGGCCTCCGACCCGTCGCCCGGCAGTTGGGCGCGCCCGCGCGCCAGCCGGCGCAAGTGCTTCAGCGCCGCTGGCCCGTGCCGCCCCGCCGTTTCCAGCGCGAGCGGCAGGACCCGCCAGGGTGCGCGGCCAGCGGGGTTATAGCGACTTCTCTTGTCGCTCCACCCCTCCCGCGCCACGGCGCCGTCCGCGCCCGCCGCCGCAGCCAGGGCGCGGGCCTCGCCCGGCACGTTGTAGCGGACTGAGTGGACTGCGACATCCGCTAGCAGCCGCGGGCAGCCTGCCCGCTGCGCCGGCAGGTCGAGCAGCGCCTCCTCGTGGCGGGACTGCAGCGCGGCCCCGCAGGCCTGGCAGGGCCCTGCAGGCGGGGCGTCAGCGTGGCCGCGCGCCGCGCAGCCGGGCGCCGTGCACGCCCAGAGCCAGCGACCCCAGGCCAGGACGTGGACCTGGCGCGCTTTCTGGAGGCCGCACTCGGCGCGAATTTCGCTCCCAGACGTCTTCGACGCCCCGGCTGCGCGCCGTCCTGCCTCCTCCGCAGGCGCAGCGGAAGGCGTGGCGCGCCTTGCTGCAGAGGGGCTGCGGCCGCGGGGCTGCCCGGCGCGCGCGCGCGCGCCTGCGCAGCCGGCCCTGGCAGCGGCTGCTGGCGGCGCGAGGCTCTGGCCAGGCAGCGCCGGCGCCGTGTCGAGGTGGTCGTCGTCCCCCAGGCGGTGCGGTGCGCCGGCCCGCCGAATTCGCCGGCTGCCAGCCGGCCGCGTGGGCGCCGCCGCAGGAGCGGAGGCGTGGCGGGCCCTCGGGTCCCGAGTTGCTCAGCCAGGCGGCGTGGCGGCGTGGTCATTTTTGGCGGGCCTGCGCGTGCGCCGGGGCGGCAGCGGCACGGCGTCCTCCTCCTCCTACTCCTCCTCCTCCTCCTCCTCCTCTTCCCCCTCCTCCTCCTCCTCCTCCTCCTCATCCTCCTCCTCCTCCTCCTCCTCCGCCCTCCTCCTCCTCCTCCTCCTCCTCCTCCTCGTCCTCCTCCTCCTCCCCCTCGTCCTCCTCCTCCTCCCTCCTCCCTCCCTCCTCCCTCCTCGCCTCCCCTCCTCCCTCTCCCTCCCCCCTCCTCCCTCCTTCCCTACAGCTTGGACTGTTGCAAACAGTCGCATTAAGCAGAGGTCCAGAGACAGACCCCCCTCCCCTTCCGCCCAATGTCGAAACGCCGAAAAAGAAAACGCCCACCATGCCGAAGACCGCGGGAAACCACCGAAAACCTTCGGAAGACGGCCGACGACTGCGGGAAGACTGCTGGGAGACCGTCGGAAGACCGCCCGAGGCAGATGGGTAACTTCGGATGCAGCTCCTGGGAGGTCAAGTTTTGATGTTGCCCTGGTCCGAAGCCCAGCCGCGGCCTAATCCGGCGTGGTAGCCCCCCGATGGGGCCCAATCCTGCTTCCCAGACCCCCGACGTCGTGGTTTTTGTCACGGCGTCGACCCCCAGAGGTCTGGACCCCTTCCCTGGGACCGGTTGTTCCTCCTGAGTCGTTTTGTTGACGGTCCCGAGGCCCGGGAAGGGCCCAGGGCGGCCGAACATAGCGCAAACCCTCCCGCCGCGATTTTTTTGTTGCACAGCGCGAGGAGGTCGGGGGTTCATCCTTCCGACGAAGACCTCCCAGCAGTGGCCCTCCTAAGGTAACGAGGGGCCCGCGCCCGCATGCGCATGTGAGAGTTTTTTGTGCTTGCTTTTCAGCTGGTTTTGCTGCTTTGCTTTTTTTAGGTCCCTCCTCCTCTCTCGTTTTTTAACTGTTTTATTTTCTTTTTCGTTTAATTTTCAAAATTTCTTGCAGCGCACCCCACCGCTCGTCCACCTGGAGATCCAGCGCGTCGCGAACATCAGGACGGAGGTTTTTCGCAAGTTTCGGCCTCTCTGGGGGCCCTCGCCGGGCCACGCAACCGTCAAAAAACACGGCTTTTGATGCGAAGCCGGTCCCGCACGGGGCATGGGTCGAGGCTTCCGGGGACCCCGCACTGCAAAAACCACAACGTCGGATCTCTGGGCAGGGGGGCCGCCCCTGCCTGCGGTCCCGCATGGGGCATGGGCCGAGGCTTTCTGGGACCCGGCACTGCAAAAATCACGACGTCGGATCTTTGGGCAGCGGGGCCGCGCGCGCGACGACGACGACGACGACGACGACGACGACGACGACGACGACGACGACGACGACGACGACGACGACGGCGACGACGACGACGACGACGACGCCGGATCTCTGGGCAGGGGGGCCGCCCCTCCCCGGCCGCGCGCGCGCGCCGGCCCAGGCCCCGGGGCCGCGGCTCCGGCGACGCCGGGGGCGAGCCGCCGGGCGAGGCCGCACGGGGCTACTAATAGAACGAGGAGACCCTGACTCCTCGTCCCCCTCCTCCTCCTCCTCCTCCTCCTCCTCCTACTCCTCCTCCTCCTCCTCCTCCTCCTCCTCCTCCTCCTCCTCCTCGTCCTTCTCCTCCTCCTCCTCCTCCTCCTCCTCCTCCTCCTCCTCCTCCCCCTCCCCCTCCCCCTCCCCCTCCAAGAAAGGGGGAGCGGCGGGATTCGGGCAAGTCTTCGGCCTCCAGGGGCCCCCGCCGGGCCTCGCGGGAGCGTCAAGAAAAAACTCAGGACGAAAAGCCGGCCCTCGCGGACTCCAGATCCGCCCTACTTTGGCTTTTTTCCAATTAAAAATTGCGTCGGAAAGCCACCGATGAGAAGCCGAGAAAAAAGGGCGGAGATTTCAGCACCCAACATACAGCAGGGCGGAAATCCACAAAACTAAGGCGGAAACAGCAACAGAAAAGTAGGGCGGAAATTGGCATCAGCGGGGCTTGAAAAGTAAAGCAGAAATTTCAATCCCTATTCGGCAATTTCCCCAAAGTGGGGCGGATCCGGAGTCAGGGGACAGCCTCCCAGACACGAGCCCAGACATCCCGCTGCTCCACTTTTCGTGGAGCGTCGGATCGCAGAACATCCTCCCAGGCAGGATCCCAGACATCCCTTGAGCATCCACTACTTCAATGTATTGGGAACATCAATATTTTATTCGCATGCGCAAGTATATTCGCTCTCGGCGTTAACAAAATAGTGAAAAACCGCCCGTCGTGATTATTACCAATCACGACGTGCGGTTTTTCGCTACTTTCGGCCTCCGGGGGCCCTTCCCGGGCCTCGGGACCGTCAAAACAGGGTTCAGGATGAAAAACCGGTCCCAGGGAAAGGGTTCAGACTTCTGGGGGTCGACGTTGTGACAAAATCATGATGTCGGGGGGCTGGGTGATCCCAGACATCCCGCTGCTCCAATGTTTTCGATGCGTGGGCCCCGGAGGTCTGGACCACTTCCCTATAGGGCCGGTTTTTCGTCCTGAGTCGTTCTTTGACGTTCCCGAGGCCTGGCCAGGGCCCCCGGAGGAAGAAAACTGCCCAGATCCAGCCGCTCTAATTTTTTTGGAGCGTCGGATCTCATGGATCGCGTCGTGAAACACTCACGGCGGGCGGTTTTTGCCTATTCTCGGCCGCGGTGGGCCCTTGCCGGGCCTCGGGACCGTCAAAAACCGATTCAGGATGAGAAACCGGTCCCAGGGTCGGGACTTCCGGGGACCCTGTCCTGAAAAAATCAGGACGTCGCATGTCTGGGAAACCATCACGACCGGACCCTTCCCAGGTCGGGACCGTCAAAAAAAGGATTCAGGATGAAAAGCCGGTCCTGGGGAAGGGGTCCAGACCTCTGGGGTCGAAGTTGGGAAAAAATCGCGACGTCGGGGGTCCGGGTCCTCCCCTGAGGTCCTGCGATCCGACGCTCCACGAAAAGCGGAGCAGGCGGCTGTTTGGGCTGTCTTCGGCCTCCGGGGGCCCTCGCCGGGCCTCGGGGGCGTCAAGAATAACGGACGACGAAAACCGGTCCCGGGAAAGTGGCCCGGACCTCCAGGGCCCACGCACCAACCAAGTTGGAGCAGTTGGATTTATGGGGATCTTGCGGCGTCCCGTTTTCGGACGTTTGCGTCGGTTCCCAGCGGTTTTACCAGCAGCTCCGCCTCGCCGAGGGCGCTCCGGGGGTGCACGGATCGTCCCGAACGGCCGCCGGAGGCCCGAGTTATAGGACCCCCAACACGAAAGAGCCGCTGAGATACTTGGCGTCCCGATCTTGTCGCGCTCCGCGTTTGCGCCTTCTTTCGGGCCCCGGGACCCCCTCGCATAGAGCGGTCCGGCTCGACAGATCTTGCGCAGGAAGATGGGGCCTGGCGCTCCTGGCGTGCTTTTATTTGTTCTAACGATGTTGCAGTGGTTTCACTACGTCGGGTCCCAGGGTCCAGAGCCGCCGGGTCTCAGAGATGCTCAGTCTTCAGAGGGCGAAGAACGGTGCAATTACACCGTTCCTCGCCTCGTTCGTCTTAAGATGAACGTTTGCTTCATCGGGGGCGCCTGTTCATCGTAAGATGAACGCTCATCTTAAGATGAAGCAAACGTTCATCTTAAGATGAACGTTTGCTCCATCGGGGGCGCCTGCCCCCTGGGCGGCTGCAAGATATGACCCCCCTGCGGTGCCATGTATGGGCGTAAACTTTGCTACAGCTTATTTTGTACCGTTCTTCGCCCGCTAAGATTTTGTCCCAGCCAACCTGTTGAGGGGTTCCCGTTTTGAAGGGACAGCGCCCCGCGCCTCTCCTCTCCTCTATCCTTTATCCTCTTCCTCTATCCTCTATTATCCTCTCCTCTCTCCTCTCCTCTCCTCTCCTCTCCTCTCCTCTCCTCTCCTCTCCTCTCCTCTCCTCTCCTCTCCTTCCCCCTCCCTCCTCCTCCCCATCCTCCCATCCCAGCCTCTGCCCTTCGCACCCAGTGTAGCGCTTCGTGTCCCCAAAGAAGCTCCTCCGAAGGCTCCAGTGGCAGTGTTCGCATGCGTTCCCCCCGCCCAGTAAATCGCGTCGTGGCGCTACAGGGAGCCCCACCGAAGGCCCCACTGGCGGTGTTCGCATGCGGTTTCCCCACCCAATACAGCAGTTCATGGCCCCATGGGGAGCTCCACCAAAGGCCGCACTGGTGGTGTTCGCATGCGGTTTCCCTCACCAGTAAAGCGCGTCGTGGCGCCATAGGGAGCTCCACCGAAGGCCCAAGTGGCGGTGTTCCCAGGGGTTTCCCCCACCCAGTACAGCGGTTCGTAGCCTTATAGGGAGCTCCACCGACGGCCCCACTGGCGGTGTTCGCATGCGTGTCCCCCACCCAGAGGCCCCATAGAGCTTCACCGGAGGCCCCAGTGGCGGTGTTCGCAGGCGGTTCCCCCACCCAGTACAGCGCTTCGTGGCCCCATAGTGGCGGTGTTCGCATGCGTCTCCCCCACTCAGTACAGCACTTCGTGGCCCCATAGGGAGCTCCACCGAAGGCCCCAGCGGCGGTATTCGCATGGCGGCCTCGATCCATTTCGGCACACTCCTCACATATTCCGTGGCCCCATATGGAGCGCCACCGAAGGCTCCAATGGCTGCGCCCGCATGCGTTCCCGCCCCATTTCGGTGCACCCTTTACACGCTTCGTGGCCCCATAAAGAGATCACCCGAAGGCGATACCCACAATGGCGATACTCACAACTGCATTTGGTTGGGCCCTTCGCCAGGATCTCTCTTATGCTCACCCGACGGTGTGCTCGACCTGGTTTCGCCTTACGGTGGCCGGGCGACGAACTCACAGCCATTGGTCCATGGCCGTGCCCCTCCTGGACCCAGGAGCTGTGTATGCACCCTCCTGGCTTGGCCAGGAGGGCGTGGCGTGCATACACCGCTGCTGGGTCAGGAGGAGGAGGAGGAGGAGGAGGAGGAGGAGGAGGAGGAGGAGGGAGGAGGAGGGGGGAGGAGGAGGGGGATGGGCCTCGCCAGGGCGCAGCGGTTACGTATCGACCCCGCCGCCCCGCCGAGGGCGCGGAGGAGGACGCCGCCCTGCCGCGGCGGCGGCCCCTCGACGAGCTGCCGCTGACGCACACCTTCACCTCGG